TCGTCGCCACCGCCGCTGCTGAACTCAATTGGGTCACAAATTTGCTCAAGGAACTCAACGTCAACTCCACGGTTATTCCTACAATATATTGTGATAATATTGGAGCTACTTATTTATGTGCCAATCCAGTGTTGCATCCTTGATGGAAGCTCAATCTTGCGGGGGCATGATAAGCAGATAAGATTTCCTCAAGGCAGTTGAGGAAATCTCTCAGCAGTTGAGAAGCAGATAAGATTTCCTCAAGGCAGTTGAGGAAATCTCTCAGCAGTTGAGAAAAATCCTCCATGTATAACCTCCCTACTGAGTGTGTATAAATGGCTGTCAAGAACTCACTATCAAAATGTATTAGGCAATTATATCTTATACATTTCATAGTTTCTTCTACAATTTCTATCTTCTTCGCTTAATTTCTATCAATTTCAATGTTTTCCTCGGCATCCAGACATGACAAAATATAAGTATCATGTTGCACTGCGTTACAAAACAAAGCCTTATACTTGTCACCATGGCTGACGAACAAAGCCTTATAGTAGATGTAGAACACGAAACAAATCGATTTTACTGCAAGAGAGGGGCACCAGCAGGCGGCAGCTCATCAGTAGTGATAGATATAAGCATCGTGTTCGTGTACAAGTAACAATTCGGTAGTTCCGGTTGAGCTGATAAGCCTGCTGATAGTGTAGCCCCATGCCATCCGAAACTTGCCGGTCCCTCCGACGATGGCTCGCTCCATCGTCTCGCCGACCACCTCGTTGCCGACGATGGAGATGCTGCTCCCGTCGTACTTGCCGGTGGTGAACACAAAGTTTAACATATAGAGGTACGCGGATGGGCTTTCTATGGACGCCTGCACCGTGAGATCGTACGTCCTCCCGATGAGCATCGAGCTCGACTCGGGCCCTTCCTTCAGGATGTTGTTGCCCACCCAGATGCTCCCAAAGGTACCGTTGCCGGGGGTGCTGACGACAGTGACGGTGGTCTCGTTGGGGCCGCCGTAGCAGACGTGAAACTACAAGTGCAGGTGGGTCATCTTCTTCTCGGGGTCATCGCTGCTGGCAGTGGCAACAGCGGCAAAGAGGAAGAGGAGGAGGAGCAGAGGGAGGGATGAGAGAAGCTTATGCAGGGGTGAACGAACCCACATATGGGTGGCTGGAGAGACATGAGAGGTTTGTTGGGCTTTTATAAGTAAAGGAGTTGGTAGAACAGTGTTCTGTTTTCATGCTTATAAATGTGTTAAGACATGTGTTTTTGCTTAATTCGAACTGATACTTGTGTCAAACTATTAGAGTAAAATAAAAAGAAAATAAGACTATATAAAAATTTTATTAAAAAAAAAATGCATTAGTCTAGATTTTTTATGTTTTTGTGAGAAAGAAAAGAAAACCTTTTGAATATGTTAATCGTAAAAACTTTGATAGTATATGACAGGTCTTAGCTTGAATTTTATCGGGGCACTTATCAATTATACTAAAAAATCAAAACAGAATCTTTATGATATGTGACAAAAGATAATATAAATATGTATATGCTAGAGATAAAAATAAAAAATACTTAATATAGGCACCGTTAAAACATATTCAAACTTGAATGATAGATCGTCTCTAATCTTCCACATAATGAGTCATTTGACTAAACAAGTCATGAAGTGGACGGATGATTCATCAGCTTTGACTGTTACGTGACAAGGAAAAACTCGTGGCCAAGAAGATTTATATTCAACATAGACAAAATGTCCATAATGAAAGAGATAACATACAAGATAGCAACACTCGATCGTCCCATTCAAAAGCTATTCATGCTAAACTCAGCGAGTAGAATGCATTTTAGTCAAACTGCAATCACCGAAGCAGAAACAATTCACAGCTTTGTGCACTGATGCATCAGGGGGTCGACAGAAGTGAAAGATCGGAGGCATCCAAAGCTTACATCTTTGATTCACTGCAACCTTTTGTAACAGCTCATCCTACTCTCAAATGGAGGCATGCAAGACCGAGATGGACGGAATCAGCAGCATATAGCTAGCTGAATGGCAACACCTGCAGAAATGAAACTGTCGAAGGTTGAAGGACTGACGGATGGCGTTGGAGGCGGCGTTTCTCTTACTCTATTGTTGTTGACTAGTCCTGCGAAGTAGGAGGAGACTTGGAAGAGCAATCGATTTTTAATTAATATTCACATCCGATAAAATTGGAATCATACTGAGAAAATTAGGATGATCCTTGTGCATACACATTCGATATTCTTATCCAATAAAATTGGAATCATACAGAAGCAAATTGAGCAAATTTGAGAAAATTGTAATCATTCGACTGTATGATGAACTGAAGAAGCAAATTTATGTTGGAGTTCCAAAACTTGAACACGTGCCTTCTGGCTTTGACTGGCTGAAAGATGCCTCCTCAAATCTATTCATGATTGTGACCACAGGAGGAATAATGGTTGCTGAAATTTAAATTAAAAGTTTTTACTAATTGCTGCATATAAGATTAAGATTTCAGGTTCATATAGCAATCATGTGCATGCATGCAAGATTAACTTTTTTGACTTTACAGATTGATTAATTTATTTAAATCTTATTTTATTGTCTATTTTACTATTGTCCTAATGATTTATGGAAAAGTTTGGTGATCCCTTAACGGATGACCATCTATTTCATAGAAAATGCATATTAGAAAAACAATGGAAGTAAATTTTAGAGGCCTTTCACTGCCTGTGGCTTTAGTTACCAGATTCTCAATTACATCAATAGATTCCCATAAATTTTGCTAGCCAATCATAAACCTGTTTGGCTTTTCGGTTTCTCCTCAGCCATCCCATCATTAGCTAATTCACAAGGCTACGTTATCTTGCTTTTCCCATTCACGTACGCATGCAAGTCAATTCTAGAAACCATTAAAAGTTAGAATATGTCACACAAGGGCATCAAACAAATTCCAAGGTAATGTCAGCTCTGATTCAAATATGTTTAAGTGGCTAATGACTGCTGAGCTGTTCCACGACTGATATATCAGTCAACTACGTATTATCATTTTTATGGTTGATGTGGTAAAATTGGTAAAAACAAAATTGCCTTCTGGTTGTAATGGTATAGTCACATGAGAAGAAGAAATCTTACCTATTAGCCATAATAATTCGTAATATATCCTCTAGGATTGTTATATTGTGCATTGTTCTCATGCGGCAATATGATCTGCATACGTTCAATCGCCATGAGCTTCGAGCTCCAATCGGGGCCTTTCCGGAGCAAGTCATCGATGATGCCGATCTCGCCATAGTGGTGGAGATCTTGCTCGCACACCTACAAAATCTCAACATGCATAAATCCAATTTCTTCACTTGTTTTATCACTGTAATCTTATAAAAATATTTTAACATATTTATTATAATAAGCCAATATGTAGTGATGGTGTCATGAGTATCATCGACTGATGAGTTTGGTCTACTGTTGAATGTGTCTCTTTTTTGCTGACGTGGGGAGACTTAGTAAGGTGAGACCGCATAAGTTACCCATTCAGAATCCATTTTGTTAGTGAGAACCCGATTTGAGATAGTCGGGTAGGTGGACTGGGATCTTTCTAGTTATAAAAATCTTCCCTGGGGGTTGGGTCATCCGGGTGTCTTCGGGCAACCGACGATCCTATATGACAGGCTGACGTCAAGGGTTGCTCGGCATGACCTCTATAGGGAAATCCGAGGGTGATATCATATGCGCAATGGAATAACATAAAACAAAATTCTTAAATTTCCCAAAAAGTATTTTTCATTATGCGAAGATTGGTGCACAAAAACTTGTGAAACTGAAAACTACATGTGAGATTGTTGTGTTACCTAGGGAGATCATATATCCCTGAATTTTTATAGATCGATAAGAGAGGATGAAGGAGGTCAACCACTCTTTTCTCTAGCAATGATCCACATGACAGGGCTATGAAGACGCTCCTTAAATTACTAGTCATAGGTGCCCTACAAGTCAATCAGGTGAGTGATAACACGTGTGACTTGACACACAGTTTTTTTATTTATTATATTTTGACATTTATCACTGCTTGTTGTATATATATATATATATATATATATATATATATATATATATATATATA